GACATTCTTCTTTACAAATCTTCGTTTTGTACTTCTAATTAGTGACCGTTGTTTTGTTTCGATCTCTCCGCGTGCGTCACTTCTGAGCTGCGCATGCGCAAAGCTGACCTCATACGTAATTCCCCCGGAACTGCTTCCGTTTTACAACAGTGAGCGCAAGCAAGATTCAAGTGATTACGTTTTAAATATGGATATTTTTCTTACAAAAACACATCGATTCGCTACAGGAGGCCTTTGTTCACCCCCGGAGCCGTGTGAGACACTTTTTTGTGGAAGGGTGCTTTTTATTTCACATCTTTTGGACAGAAGCAATGCAACACCCGCTGAGTACAACGATAGAGCTTGAAAGATCAAAGACAATTTTTAATATAACTCCGACTGGATTCGTCTGAAAGAAGAACGTCATATACACCGAGGATGCATCGGGGGTGAGTAAAACGCAGCCTAATTTTTTTTTGGGGGGTGAACTAACCCTTTAACCTGACTGTACATGATACCATACGGATCCATTCAGAATAACTAAACCACTGACCAGCACATAATCTAAAACACCTTCAGCCGGCATTCATTATAAAACACTCGTGCTTTTAAGCCAAATACACGCTGAAAAGTTTAATTTACTGCCATCTGGATGAGAGTCACCATTCTCTCCGCCATCTCTGAGGAAATCGTCCGTGTTTTCTCTGCATTAGTGCCGTTTTGAACTTATTACTAATGCATTCCCTTACTGGATCCTTGAACTTTCCAAAAAGTTTACCAGTTTCAAATGACCTCCTCCTGGGTAGTGTGCTTTATAGTGTCATTTCTAATCACCCAGACGCTGATGCTTTAGAGTAGCCTACCGGCCCACTTAAAGCACTGCTTATTAGAAAAGGAAGAAAAAAAAAATCTTGTAGAGAAAGGTTTCATGCTCACCTCAGCTGAATCAAGAAATGCCTGAATACAAGGGAATGAGAAGACTCTAGGACAGAGGGATAAGATCGTGCAAACATGTCAAAACTTTACAGACAATGATGACTGCATAAAGCCTGCATTATAATAAATAAACTCAAATATACCTTCTTGAGTTGCCAAAATAACTATTGAGTTCATTCAGAAATGTCCTACAGTCCTTCAAAAAAAAAAAAAAAAAAAAAAAAACTCCAATACTTGCAATATACCGTTTAAAACCAAAACATTCTAGTGCTTCGAGCAGTGAAAAATAAATGCCTGAACATACAGTTTCAAAATCTTTGTCACGAATTGAAGTAAAAGCTGAAGCAAAGCTTCTGAAACGGAACCATTTTCCAGAAAAGTCTTCTCTTAGCTTCCTTGGCGTCATCCTGCAGAGTGCTTCAGAGATGGCCACCTGCATTTCATAATCTGGTGACAGCATCATATATTAGCCTACAATATGACCACTGTATCAAAGAGGAAAAACACTAAATTATTTTTTACAAAAATTGATGGCTTACCACCAATGTCTGTCAACGCTTTTGCCAAGTCCTCTCTGTAAGAAATGACAACAAGTGTTTGCAACGAAATTCGCCCTTTTCCTATTAGAAACTCGGTCTGTTTGTGTTGTAGAGAAATCTGTTGTCCACTAGAGCGCAGCCTTGCTTGCAATTGGTTGCGAGCGTCGCTCATTTGAAGTGTAAATGCGTGTGTAACCACCGTACTATATAATGGCAATTAATGTATGCTGTATGATAGCTTACAAGAGCCCGACGTGGTCATCTGACTGGCAGAGTTTCTTCCTTATATCTTTGGGACTGCTGTCCAACATAGAGTTTATGGTTCTGATTGCCTGAGTGCAAATAATGTCTAATTATTTCACAGCTTAAATGTTTTAGCCAGATATTTTTTTTACCAATAGCTTCATGACAATTACCTCTAGACGCAGACAGAAAGGCACTTCATAATCCAAAACAACAGCCCCAAACCGCAGCAAAAATATATCCAGGATCTTATTGCTGCCTTCGAACCATACCAAATTATTTATTAATAATTAATCATAATACATAATAATGATGATAATAATAATAATAATAATAATAATAATAATAATAATAATAATAAATGTTACACTATACAAAATCATATTAATACAAATCTTTGAATGGGTCACCTGCAATGGTGATCGGACACAGCCCCTGTTAAAAAAAAGGGGGGGGGTCTAGTACATTAGTCTATCGACATATATATACAGTATATATGTGTATGTATGTATGTATGCATGCATGCATAAAGGAGTTCTCTGTAGCGAGAATGCATTACCATGGCAACCTCGTAGAAAACTTCAATGAGATTCATGGCGTACCTAGGTGGTTTGTGCTGTCCTTTAAGATGCTCTGAGGAAATCTCAAACCAATTCAACATTTACAAAGCGAGAAGATTATAAATTAAAATACTGACCAGTAACTTAGAGGTTTATTTTAATCAGAATTAGACAAATATACTTATCTTCACAACCAAGCCGTGATGAACAAGTTCCTGGATGCTGTCTTCATCTTTACTAATGAGATGTTCAATTGCCCGTAATATTAAGGCAACATTCTTATGTTCGATTTTATGCAGCTCCTGAAGAAAAGTAATACAATTGTATATGGGTAAGAAATGTCCACTTCTGCAGTGGGGAATCTTAATCAAAACTGCAAAACATGTCCCCCCATCAATCATAATCATACAAAAGGAACAATAAACCTTTGATATTGCATGGAAATCCAGAAAAAGCATCATAACCTGCCTTAATAACAACTTCGTCCAGTCGATCGGCCAAGGATACGGAAGATTTTTCTTCAATAAGAATCATTATAACCATGCCAAGGTTATTTTGGACAAAGGCATCATGAAGTCTACTTGTAAACTGTATAATTAGAAAAGCACTGGATGAATGTCTGGAATACTAAAAACAACAAACAACTCAGTATGGGTCCATTGTGATTCAACTTTAAAATTACTGCAAGTACCCTAAGGCTAATACACAATCAATCAATCAATCAATCAAAGTGATTAAGTAGACCGTACAACCCTATATATGTTTAATATAAACCCACAGTGATAAAGTAAACCTCCAGAGAAGAACTCACACTCATGATGCACAGACAGACGATCTCCTCCTCAGACTGCAGACTGTCTAATTAAACACACATGGCTTTTAATTAGGCTACATATACGCTTTTTATTTAACGCCCATGACCCTTTGCGCGAAATATGGAAGTGACTTCCGGTAAACTTTACAATCAGGGAAAGGTTTGCTTTATGAAGCATTTTCAAAAACGTGGTACAATGAGGTGAAATTAGTATACTCTACTTACCTTTCGACCATCGAATATAAAAATTAAAAAAAATTTGTGTTAGTGTTAAAGCAAATTACTACAAACAGACCACGAATAACCCCAAAAGCTCGATTATTTCCACAGTAATTACAGACGTGTTAAATATCACTGTAATGTAGGCTAGTTTATGTCTGTATTATGTATACGTTGCCCAAAAATGTTCACTGAGCATTGAGGGATAATAGATAAAAGTGATTTCCGTCATTTTGACAGATAACAAATACTGTATTTACCTGACATGGAAACATTCTGTAAACACTGCTACTAGGGATTAGAAGTGAAAAGAGGAGACAATTACTTTTTAAAGTGAAAACAAACCTGGAGAGAGACGTGAGGATTTGTAGAGAAAAACGAGAGATTCTTCATTCAATCCAGTGAATTATTCATGGGATATATCGTAAATTAAATGGCTTTGTCTTTTTTTTATATTGTTAAAGCGAAGTACAAAGAGGGGAAATGATACAGCGGACTGAAAAGAGCTCTTACCGTAGACATTCTTGTCACATTGTAGTCTCGGGCAAAATATGGGTAAAAACAAGACTCAGAAAGTGTTAACTCTTAGTTTTTGCATAGAGTTTACGCAAATATTAAATATACCAACTTGTAATGTATTTGTTATCAAAGTGTTTAGCGTTAGATATTTAAATATTTTGTACCAACCTGTATACAGAAACCCATGTAGCCTACATTTACACATATAAGTTTTTTTAATTAATAAAATTAATTATTTCATTTATTTATTTATTTTTTGCAACTTCGAGTATAAGAGTATCGAGTATAAGATTGAACTTCGAATTAAGGCTACTTTTGACACAGACTGCGAGGGGTGCTTCACAGACAACTTTTCCACAAGATTACCATTTATTTGTTTATATACAATTTAATAATTATCTTCTAGTGTTACATGCTAATATACTGAAAAGGCTATCAGGTTGAATCCCAGGGATTCACATTATAAATTCTTTCGTTTTCACAAATTTAACCGTGGGTCAAGCCTTCCATATTTAGTGAATATGGAAGTGGATGGAAGTGGTAGTGAATATGGAATAGTGTAACTGTAAGACAATTCACAAGATTCGAATGGATAAGATCAACACAAGGCTTATGACGCTTTTGTGAAACAGGTTATAGAGATACAGTGGTATGATTAGAGTTTATATTCACGAGTCGTAACGTAGTAGGATCAGTGAAGTGTGCTGACCACCACTTTTCAGCAAATCATTGGCCAACTGTATGGTAACATAATTAATAATATTCATGATCCAAGCCTGCACCAAAAGACATTCCCGTAATTTGCGCCATGTATTGACTTGTAGATGTATAAAAACGCACTTGGCATCGAGATACAATACCAGAACATCAAATTAAGATCAAATTTTGATTAGCCTAACTAAAATGTAAATTGCACAAAGAAAAATAAGTACTGATGTACTATTTCTCTACATATAAAACACATAAATGTATGTATGTATATATTGATTGATTTATCAATTCATTCTTGCATGCATGCAACGTTTGCTTTCATGGTTACATGTGTCTACAAAAAGAATTAACTGCAAACTGTCTTTTTCCCCCCGGGGTATAAAGGTATCCATATTAACTAATATGATGTGCTGTCAAATTACAGTCTATTCCCGAAATGCTTCAGACGATTCTATAAAGGTAAATTTTAGGTAGATATATACACTTCACATTGCACACCACAATTCCAGACACCTTCATGACATCAGAAGCTAATGGTGGTAAAGTGAAAAAAAATTAAAGTGAGCCTAAAATAATCTTCTGTCTGCATTTGTGTGCGCGCGCGCAAATTACATCTACGAAGTTTTACATTTGTCAACTGTACTGCTCCTTTGCGTGTATATATATATATATATATATATATATATATTCTGCCAGTGAGGACAAAATAGTAATTTAGTGAACAAAACAGCAATAATAAGTGATACAGTAAGTGCACTGTTGCTCTGTTCTCCCTAGAATGACAAAATAGTAATGCAAATCCAAAGGAACAAGGCAATAATACAAAGAAAATAATGAACAAAAGATAGGCTGCAATTGTTTTATAAAATGTAAAAAACAAAAAACAACAAAAAAAACATTACAATCAGGAATGCGTAGGGTACTGGCACTTGAGTGATGAGTGTGATGTCTCGTTAATATTATGGCAATTTTCAACTGAACGTAAACTGCCTTCATATGTATGAATGAATGATTATTATTGTCTTAAGAAAAACACATTCTTTTTGATGAAAAAATTTGGACAATTTGTACCATTTTAACTTTATTGTCTACAAAATGCATATTCCAACTAAAAATCATTTATGCATTTATACTTACATTATTAATATATTTTAATGAACAACCACAACAATGGATTAAACAACAACAACAACAACAAAAAAACACGGTTAGCCTACATTTGGACCGTGCAGCCCAAAAAGGTAAAAACAACAAAAACAAAAACACTAATGTAGCTTACAGTATGCGTATCATTTTATGTATCTTGTATTCTTGTATAGCCTGTCATTTTTCAGACGTCAGACTCGGTATGTATTTTAGGAGGAGACTTGCTTGCTTTTCAAGATGTTATTTTATTGATGTTCTTATAAGAGTGACTCCAGTTGATAGATAATAGATTACCTAATTACAAGAGTCTTGCAATTTAGTATTTTATAATAATAATAATAATAATAATAAT